GTGTGTGTGTGTGTGTGTGTGTGTGCAAAATCAGAGAGAGATTCCCTTATTTATCATATTCCACGAGATTTAGCTGTGATGTTCTCACGGACACAGACCTGAGATGACTTCATGCTCTGTTTCATTCATTTCTGAAAAAAACATGAATCAACAGTGGTAAATATTATAAAATAAATACAATTTATCTCTCATTTTAAAGAGAGTTGTGGAAAGCCTTAACTTTGAGACTGGACAAATGTGTGTGCTTTAAGGCTGCTCCTGCTGCTACAGTTATCTCCAGTTTAAAAAAAATAGGCCCCTAGTCCAGAGGGGCCCCTTTACATGTTTTTTAATAATAATACAAAGAAAATAGAATTCATCAGTCGGTAGTGCGTGCGTGCGTGCGTGTGTGGACAGTCAGCAGGCTGTAATTCCCTTCTCCTCTATGCTAGGTCCTGTCCTGACTATAATTGCTGAGCTTGTTAAATATTTACCCTAAGGATGAACTATCCCTCCTCCTTTGTCTTTCTGCCCGATTGCCTTTAATTGTCCTCCGGTGTGTATGTGTTCATTGGAACTGTCTGTTTTGCGCGATTGTATTTAGATGCTTGTGATGTCATTATTTGAACCAAGACATTTGCTTTGTTTCAAATATTAAATCAGGTTACGACCACATTTAGAAAGGATTAGGTCATTTAAGGCAAACGCTTCAAGGGAATATTCCCTTTTAAATTATTTGTTTTATTACTTCGATTAAATGCCATAAAAGCAATCATCATTTCTTGTAAATTGTAATCAGAGGGCATTTTAGAATTTAGAAGGCACCAGACTTTTTAAGGAGACTTAATAAAGTACTGTCCCTCTTCCTTAATGTTCAGCTTTCCCTCCTGTTTGTAATCCTAGCATATTGTCTATTGCTATAGACTTGATATCACTTAATTCATGCTAATGCATTAATATGAGCTTCTGGCATTTGTCACAATACATTTAAAGCGATGTTGGCACTCCTTTTATGTTTTTTTGCGTGTAA